GCAGGGAGGGCTAAGTCAGCTTTGAGCAGCTGAGACCAACACCTACCTGTTTCGCGGTTTGGAGCACGTTCGTGACGAAGGAAAAAACGAACCTCACTTCTCTGGACTCCACAGCGTTGAAGAATATCCAGCATCCGCTCATTATCAGCTACAGGGCGCTCTGAAAAAGCAAAATGTGGTAAGCTGGTCTCTTCTTACATGTCTCAGATGCTACATTCAAAATCTTAAGTGTCTGCTCTTCATGCCTCTCAAACATTTACTATCAACCAGGGGAGTGGGCATAAAGAAGAAAAGATTCCCCAAATTTTATGGCTACTGGATGCATCAAGCAGGCAGAAAAGCTATGCAGAGTACTTTCTTGAACCTGGACACGTGCCTCTAAAAACAGAGCAAACAACCTACAAAAATCTGGAGGTAAAAGGGAAGACGGTAAAGTCAACCTCTCAGGCAGTAATACACCTCATGTGGTCACCAGCTGATGATCTATGGCTTTGGGCTATAGCTGTCAATGTCACATTTTGAAATCCTTTGAGCTGTTAAAACTACACAGTTGATTCCTTCACGTATTATTCCCTACTTTGGTGGCACCTCAGACAGTATTATTTCTTAGCAACTCCAAAGCGGCAATCAAAGGAAAAGCAGGCGGCACAGTTTGTAGATGTTTTTTTAAATGACTGATACATACTACTGTTTGATAGAGACAATGGGCAGAAAGAGAAAGGGGGCTCTGAAGAAGGACTCCCCCACTTAATTGGACCAAATGATAACCAACAGCTCAACTGAAACTTTTGGCATTCAAGTTCAAATAAAAACGGTTTGGGTTAAATATTCTACAAATACTGTTTTTCAGGATATCAAGAACGTAAGCCAAATTTTTCAAACTTAGTGATGCTTCAAGCATCTAAAATCTATAATTAGATGTAAATTTACCCTTGAGCTTTGACATCAATGGAAAGAAAAAATTAAACCACTTTTGAAGATTAAAGCTTTCTAGAAGCCTCTAAATTCCAAAGACACACAAATGCCAAGATTCCCAGTACAGTAAGTATACATCTCATTAGATTAGTCATATACCTTCCAAACCTTGGATGAGCACTAAGACTATCACACGATAGACAGCTAAAAGATTCCATTATGGCAAGCTCATATATCTCTTCTTGATGTAATGCAAACCATTTAACCTCACTGGCAATAGCTGATGGATCTGATTCTTTAACTAGCATAGCTGTCGAGCATTTGTTCCAACACAGACCTACTAATTTATACCAATTACACATCTGATTCAACATTTCTGAAAGCAGAATTTGTAGCCAATTTAAAATGTCTTACTAGATGATAGGGATTTTGAAAGACAGTAAGCTACATATTTGCAGATTCTGACAAAAATCAAACATTTAACATCTCAAATTCATGACACAGTGAAAATGGAGGAAGAGAAGAAGGGAACCTTAACTCCATAACATAAGTGTTACTCTTCAAGTTCATAGTATGTGATTTCTTTTAAAGTGAAATAAAAATTACACATGCAATTTCTACTCAATTACTCATACTCATCCCTTGCTTTTCCATCCAATGCTAGGCCTTCAAAACCCATGTTTAGTTCTAAGTCTAAGTCTCTCTCCCTTTTGCAGTTTCTCACTCTCTCTTTCGTAACTATAAATTAAGGGGGGAATAGGGGGCAAATGCTGAGGGACCTTGTCTATGACGAGATTTTAACATGCTAACTAACTATCGCATTGTAAATACATTCCTTCCCTCATAATGTGTAGACAGCCTTAGAAATAAACCTCCATGGGTATGGAACTTTCCCTGATGTTCACACTTTTCTGTTATGGGAGCGCTTAAAGATCCCAGCCAGGATGAAGGCCCACTCTGTAACGGGTGGTCTAGAGACAACTAGGAAGAGACTATTCCCTTCCCTAAATAGCCTGTACATGAGCAGTCACAAGCAGAGACAAGATAAGTGACATGGATCTATATGCAAGTGGTCGTTAGGATAACACCAGCTTTCATGACTGGATTTTTATTTAAGGTAGAGGACAGGCAAAAGGAAAAACAAAAATATAGAAGTCAGCAGCCATGGGGTTTACATTTTGGGGCCCTGTACCTAGGTTCATTTTCAGGGTCCTACTAGGCAACCATAATCAAAGCTAGCTGTATGTGAAATGAAGACCCCTGACATGGATGGGACCCTGGGCAACTGTACACCTGCACTACCCACGTCACCCCTAGGAATCAAGGGAACAGTTCATTCATCTGAAGGAGGGATTTTTGCAAACCTCCTTCTCAAGGCTAAAGTGTTCGCTTGAAGCCAAGGGACTCTTTTTTTTGGTTTTAAATATAAACGCTCTTTTATGAAACTGAAAAAAATCCTTTGGAGATAGAATACAAGTATATGTTTATATCATCTGAAAAGCTCTCTCAATATACAAAGGGTTTTTTTTAAAGGAAGATTATGCAGCTATGTTGAAGCAATCTAGGAAGGAAAAATTTCTGGAGTTACTGTCAGAAGAGATTACATTTACAGAATAAGCAACTAGGTCACTATTACAGAAAAAGCAGTCTCTCAGCAGTTATAAGTCTAGACAGTTAAAAAAGCTCTTCATCTGCTATTCAACCCCAATGAATAAGAAGTAGCTCTGTCATATTTCCATTTTCTTAAAGAATACACAAAAGGCTTGGAAGGCAGTTTTCTGGCAGACTAAGCAATACTTCAGTTGAAACCATGTAATCAAAGTTAAGAAGATACCCTTTACACAAGGATTCTGTCACTAAACTGGTGACTTCAAAGGAGGTCAAACAGATTGTTCAAGTACTATTAGAAACCACATAAGATGCACAAGGACAAGATAAAGATAGAAACAAAGAAGAGAAAATGGAGAACAGCTCTGGCTGACCTATCTAAAAACCACATAACCTACATATCCACTTTCCTTCATTTTTCCTGGTTGAAACAGAGATTTAGCAGTTTGAGGTCACACAGGGGGATCACAATTGGGGGAAAAAAAGAGACCTCCTACTTCTCTGTTAAAAGAAATTGGGAACATTCTGGAGATTGTAAGCTTAGCCATTACAGAAAGCAGAGCCCTGGCTTCCATTTCAATCAAACCCCTTGGCCAACACTCGAGGCAAACCTGACAGTCCAGGCATTGAAGCCAAAAAAACTTACTGACCCTGAAAGGAGTTATTTGCAACACTGGACCAAAAAAACAGAGGGAGGGAAGAGGGCTTCAATAATTTAAATTTGGAAGAATTTTAAATTGAGCAAGACCTCATTTCTTTGCACAAAGTAGGAACAGTAATCTGAATATGTGATTTTTTTTCCCCCACGTAATTTTACAATCTCAGTAATTTAGCATAGGTAAGCTACTCATCATTGATAATTAAATCTTCTCTCTCCTAAATCCTAAAACAGATTTCACTGGACTATACTGACAAAGTTTACACTTGACAGATACTACCTGTATTTTTATACGGCTTAACACCGCAGCTGTAAAACAGCACTTCAATACCAGAGTTGTTTCAAAGTAAACACTTTCAAGTCAGCAAGGCTAGATGAGATTTAGCCTAAAAACTACTCAAGGAATTGGCTGAGGGAATTGCAGTGCCATTGGCTATTATCTTTGAGAATTCATGGAGTTTTGGGGAGGTCCCAGACAACAGAAGAAGAGTAAATATAGTGCTAATCTTGAAATAAAAAGGGATAAAGAAGAATACAAGGAGTAAGAGACTAGTCACTCTAACCTTGATATCCAGAAAGATTATGGAGCATAGTTTCTTTGGTGATATCTGCTGGAGTACTGTGCCCAGTTCTGAGTACATTTCAAGGAAAAAATGGGCAAATTGGGAAGTTTAGCAAAGAGCAAGAAAAATAGTTAGCTGTCTAGGAAACATGCCTTACAAGAAAAGGTCAGAAGAAATAGGAGTATTTATTTTGGAGACGATAAGACTGAGGGGGGATTTTGTAACTGTCTCCTAATACCAGAAGCATTGTTATAAAAAAGGTGAAAGACTGTTCTCTTACTATTCTCATACTGCAGAGGATAGGACAAGTAGTCAGTCAAAATGCAAAAAGGAAAATTTAGGTTGGTTGTTATTAAAAGCTTCCTAACTCAGAGCAGTTAAGCTCTGAAACAAGCCATCTTCAAGAACCTGGACAGGTATCACCAGTGATGCCTCTGAGAAATCCTCCACATCAAATGGGAAGAACACTGTACAAACTCCAGCACCTGTGCTAAAACCAGTGTTACTAGCATTGTGTCGGTGAACCTCAAGCACCAACTCTGCTAGACCGGATACGGTGTGCAGGTGACTGACTCAACTCCCAAAACAAATGCTCTACTCCCAGCTTAGTAATGGTCTGAGATCTCACAGTGGCCAGAGGAAATGTTACAAGGATGCAGTGAAGGCACACCTCAAGAAAATGCATGCCGACATCTAGATTTGGGAGGAGCTGGCTGCCAGCCAACCCCAACAGCAATGTAACCTCAACCAAGTGGCAGACTATTTTGAAATAAAGCATCTTGCCCTTGAAGCAGAAAAGAAACAGTAGAGGAAAGAAAAGGAGACGAATCCCATCCTGCAGCCTACTCTCCCCTGGAGAAAGACCTGCAACTTCTGCAAACAGATCTGTGGCTCATGGATTGAATTCTTAAAACACCTCAAGACCCAGTAATGAGCCGTGGTACAGATCCCATCCTTGATTCATGGGATTGCTACCTATGATGAGGAAGGTTGTGAAATCTCTACCCTTGGAAGTTTGAGAGCAGATTAGACAAACACCTGAATGAGAATTAGACAGGGATGTTGCCACCTTGAGCAGAGGGTTGTACTAGATGGCCTCCTGAGGTCCCTTCCAGACCTACCTTTCTATGATTCCAAGTTGATGATGTACAATCACTGAACTGTATAATAAATAGTCTCCTAAAAAGTCAATTTTCAAATTGGATCAATGCCTTTTTTACATTACATAAAAGACAATAAATGAAGTCTTAGACGTCTTGCTTTTAAATAATAGAAAAGTATTTCTATGTTTTAAAACAGGAGTGTCAAGCTTACCCTGGGCCAAATTAAGACCGTAGGGGGTCCCCTAAGTTGGACATGAAGGGCCAGCAGCAACTGTGGTACAGCCACGTTTGTATAGCAGCGCAGGGACCTAACACCAAGGATCCTGAACTGTGCACCAGGCCGTGCCCTGCAGCTTCCTGTAGCCTGTCAGACTTCTGGCATGGCACATGGAATGTTTTTAGAGGCTGGAGCTGGCCCATGGACCTTACATTTGACACCCTGTTTCAAAACCTTAACACAAATCAGGAATATTCTCCAATTTTACTGGCATACATTCAGGCTGTCAGAGAAAAAGTATGGCTAGTACTCAGAATTTAGATGAAAGGGAGCAGCTGCATTTTTACCAGCAATTCCTTCTCAAAAAGATGCTTTAAGTATTTGGAATTAAATAACCCATACCATTTTAAACACACTGATTAAAAACCCTCCCTTGCCTCATTCACTTAACCCTCATGTCTCTTTCTTCAGTCACCTAGGGTTGGCAGATTTGAGTTTCTAACACAAAAAAAAGCAAACCACAAATGAAAAGCCCACAAATCTTTTCCTTTGGAGGAGAAGAGTGGGCCAAAAGCTCATATTTATCTTTTCAGGTCACCTTTATATCAAACAACAACCTGCAATGCAGGCTCTAAGTTCTTCCGGGAGTGATACTCATTCTCTATTGGATATCTGTAAAGTATCTACCCAAATTGTGACCTTAGCCTCTAAAAACTACTGTAATGCAAATAGCAGATGGCAAATCACTAGGAAGGCTGCATCTCTCATACCTGAGCCACACCATACTTCAGCCAGGTGACAGTCGCTCTCACCCGGCTCCTTACACAGCTCCACTACATCTCTGCATGTGGTTTCAGGTGTAACTGGCACCTCAGTGAAGTGTTGTTCATTGTTACTAAGGTACACCGTAAGAAACATCTGGAAGAGAAAGAAAAAAAACATGCAATTAAAGTATGATACAAGCTCAGCTGCATACCACAAACCCTACTGTTCTTCATTGTCAATACAAACATTTGGCAGCACTCACTGCTGATCACTGCACACTGATCACTGCACACTGATCACTGCACACACACAAAACCCAGCCAGGATCACAAGAATTCAATGAGGCACTAAAAGTTAGACACTATGGGAAATCATTTTCAGTTTAAGTCAACAATGATTTTGTTGTTATTATTTGGCTAGGCGAGTCAAGCTATCTGGACTAAATAATGCATCCTCATTCTACAATAAGAAAACTCTGAAATAAGATACAGATGCCTCTTCCCAGGCTGAAAGAGAAAGACAGGGTTAATGAAGTATCAAAACTCTTTATCACTCTAGGGTACCTATATTGGGCACCTACATCAAACAACTTTGCAGTAACAGCCTTCCATAGCTTAGAGGTGTTCTGAACAAGGAACTGCTTCTCATGAAGGGAAAAAGATGTCATTAAAATCTGGAGAATGAAATTCTGTTATGTAAGAAATTAATATGGAAGCAAACAGTTTGTGCCTACACAGCAGTCTTCATTGGAAGTTCTCCTACAGATCACACAAATTAACTTCTTATGCCTTGAAAACACCATAGTGCAAATGCAATCATAGAAGAAATGTGCTTCAAATCTTACCTGGCTTCTTGTGCTGACAAAACATCTTTAGTTAGTATTTCCTTTCATCTTTAATTAGTATTATTTTTCTATGGGGAAGCAAGTCCTGCAGCTACCTCGCTGCTTCTTTGCTGCCTCCCCCCCCCGGATACTTTTAAGGGGTATCTTAAAAAATATATATATATCATCCAATTTTCAGTGACTGACTTCAGTGCAGATGATCAGTGCCTTTGAAAAACAGCTAGGTATCTTACTCTGTTCTATTACATTATAATTAAATTGTAATGAAGGAGACTGTTTAGAACAATAAATAATCATTTTCTTTCTGGAGCCAATTATTTTCTTCTTCAAACTTTCTTTCAGCACTTCCAGCTAGGCACACAATTCTATCAGATCAGTCAAATGTCTTCATTACAGCAATTACCTGCTAAACCAACTCAACATTTTAACTATAGGTCCTTTACCAAAGCATTTTGCATGTCAACAGAGAAACTAGGTGAGGAACACTAGCCATATTTATTTAATCTTAAAAGCTATGTTAAAATTATCAAGAGGGTGTGTAACAGACAGGCAAAGATTATTTATGAGCAATGGTTTAAGGATTTGAAAAATACTTGGCATGAACCATGACTCAAGTCAGGTACCAGGGAAGTGTTAGTTTTCCTCTGGTTTTAAAAAAGGTAGCAATTACAGCATGCGTCATTACCAATGTTCTTTCAACTGCCTGGACACTTCCCACTTCCTTGCCCCTGCCAAAAAAGGGGGTCTCAAGCAGTTCTCTTGTTCAACATCATACTAAAAATGTACTAATAAATCCTTTAACAGATTCTTTAAGCATTTAAGTAATCAACATGTACAGTTTCCAGGACAGGGTATGTGGAATTGCCACCTCAGTGTATTCAGCAGCCAATGACTGAACCAACAGGAATGCAATGGATTCAGTAAATCCAGAAGCAGAAGGTCCAGTCTACCATTCCTGGCACAGCTCCCCAAAGCATGGGCAACACAGTTTTCAAAAGGCCTTCCAGAAGTATCCAGCAGGCCAAAGGGAAAAAAAAAAAAGTACAAAATTCCCACAATACTTTGGGAACTCGCATCCCTGAGAACAGGCATCATTTCAGTTACAGTGACAGACAGCAAGAGCGCAAACGAGCGAGATGAGCAAAGGAATCAGAAAAAAGGAAAAGAAAGGAAAAGGGAAAGGGAAAGGGAAGAGGGAAAGCCTGTGTACTGCACAGGTAGTGATAACAATTTGTGGTACTGAATAAATGAGGACAGAATGAGTGAACAAAGGGGGGGGGGGAGCCATAGTGTGTTTGCTGGAATTCAGTCATTCATGCATTCCACACACAGAAAGAGAGAAAGGAGCAAAATCAGAAGCCCCTTCTCCCACCCCTGCTCTTGGCTGAAAGACCCTCACTGATATTCCCAGCAGCTGAACACCCACACAACTGAAATTCTGGATGCAATGCTGTACTCTAGGGGGTACACTTCCCTGCCCAGAGCAGAGATGCGCTGGAGGCTGGCTAGAGGACCACACCAGAGTTAGCATGCCCCATTTGTCTACGGTAGGGTTGCCAACCCTCCAGGATTGCCTTGGAGTCTCCAGAAATTGGATATAAATCTCCAGGAGACTGCTGAGAGTCACCCAGGAGATAAATGATAGGGTATTCATTAAATTAAATGTTGACTCTGATTTATACAGTAGTCCAGTGGGTTTTTAAAATGTAATAGTTACATGCATTTCTCTTCCTGATGTAAAGTCTATGCACCGTAATCTGTAACTGATATATGCATACATGCAGGCATGTTCGCAGGCACACTGGTGTTTCGGAAACCTCCCACAATAGATTCAGAGTTGGCAACCCTAGTCAGCCATAGTAGAGGCCAGCAAGACTCTGCTGTACATTTTATGAGAAAGCACCAGTGAAGTGCCAACCCAGGTTACAGGACAATCCAAATTCGCCACAAAGCCGTATCTGAAGCTTCCAAACAGAAGCTTTGCTGTTCAGCTTCAAATTTGCAACAAGAGTCCATAATTAAAAATGTACACAGCATACGGTATAAAATATACAGTATTTTAAGGAGAGCTCAGAGGTGGGAGGGAGGAAAGGGGCAGGATGACATTCCACCAGGCAGAGCCACCATGTAATCACAGAAACAGAACCCAAAAACAGGAAAAAAGCAGTTGGTGTGTTTTTTTCCCCTTAACCTCAACCAACTTTGCAGCTGCAGTAAAAAAAAAAAAAAACCCACAAAAGACAGGGCTTTTACAGGAATATACCAGCTTCCACATCATTTTACTCATTCTTGCCCAAAACACTTCACACACACTGTTCCTAAAAAAATTTACTCCCCCAGGTGCTGTGCCTCTACAGGAAAGAGTATTGTGTTGAAGGTATTTGCTGTGAGTGATTCACCCTTACATGAGAAGCCCTTATAAAAGATTATTCACTCCTACTGTTAATTTTGGGGTTTATATACCCAGAAGCAACTATTCAGCAAGAATTGCATGCTGCTAATTTTACCCACAAAAACCCAAGATAGTTTTGCCCTTAATAACATGGGTTACAATGAACAGTTGTATTCAGCTATGAATACAAAATGTGTTCCCTAAGTCACACCCTGAAGTGTCTTCATGAGCCTCATTACTATGAGGCGATGATGGGGTGCCTTCTGTACTACACCCCCCAATATGTTCCCATCACTTGCTCCGATATAAGCCAGAAGCATTTTGAGCACCCACTTCCCCTGCTCTCAGCAGATCACATGTTGTCCACCTACTTGCCCCATAAAGGAGAGAGAGAAGAAAGTATCCCTGGTGACTCTGTTGCCTACTGAATTGCAAGAACCGCACAGAGAAAGACCACCACAGGTGGTGAGAGTTTGCCTGGTTCTACCTCACACTGGAGGAACATCTAGCAAAGGACAGCACAGGGGAAGGCAAAGAAGATGGTGAAAACCAAAGGCCTGCAATGGCTTTTTAACTCTCCTCTTTGGCACTAATGACAGTAACCTGGTGGCGGCTCTTCTATCAGTTTGCAATGGCCCCCAAGAGACTAGACTTCAGCTGGGTACCTTGAGTGCTGCACGCACCAACCACTCTCTCAGCTGGCCCATGACAGGTTCATCAACCTCCAAATATAATTCCCACAGAAAAGCCATGCGAAGGGAAGCATGGGAGCCAAGAGCAGCGACACCAAGCTGCTGGGAAACTGGGGAACCCCCAGCAAGGGGTGTTTGAATGCTCTGAACAACAGGTCAGAAAGCCTGCTGCAAGCACCTCAAACAGATGTTTTTGCACCTCTAAAAACTTCAACGGACAGATTTCTAGAAGTGCTGACCATCCAAAACTCCAGCCGAAGTGAACAGAAAATTGAGTACTGAACAGTGGAAATCAGGTTCTCAAACTCCTCTTTGACAATTTCTCCCACTGGAATACAAATACATTTCTTGTAGATACATTTCTTGCTATTCAACATCTATTGGACTTGGCCAAACAGCCAGAGACAACTCTCTCTCTCCCTTCCATTCAATAGTTGTAGCTGAACACATTCTCGTATGTATGGAGGGAAGGTTCAAACCATTTTCAAACGTCAGACTTTAAAAATGTACAAAGCAATTTGCCCCATCTTGACCAACATCCAAAAGTGTCCTCAATTACACTTACCCAGGTATTAAAAATATGCTAATTTTCTAGTTTAGACAGGACTTGTGTAGACTTGAAGGTACAGAAATCTGTACAAAGATTTCCACCCCTTCCCCACCCCCATCTCTTGGCTTATCATTAGTCAAAATGCTTTGCTTTTTTCTTCACCAATTTATGAATATGAAAAGACTTTAAAACTTAAAAGCGCTGCATCCCAATAATGTAGTTTGGGGCACATTTCATAGACATTAGGGCTGGAAGGGACTAGAAGACAGAGATGTCTTACAGATTGAGAACAGCAGAATTTGCAGAAACGCACATTACATTTCAGCTGACCGTGCTACACAACCTACACCCACAAACCCGATCCAGCCAACCAAGCATTTGTCCCAACATTCTGGGCTGGATACATCAGTAACAGGGGAAATGGGTGGCAGCAGCCTATTTGTGGACAAAAGGTCTATTGATTTGGCTTGTCACTCATAAAAGGTTGCCAACTCCTGGTCAAGAAAGTTATTTCAAAACTTCATGGAACCATGACCAAGGGAGACCATTTGGTCTGATGCACCAAGGATGTTGGCAGGACAATTAAAATCAACCCATCCACTTTAGCAAGAGACCATCTTTAGTCAGCAAGATGCAACTGACGTGACCTACAGGCAATCTGACAGCACCAGGGAG